ACAGAAGTCTCTCAAACTGTAAATATTTAAAAATAAAATCAGACTCATAGGAGATAGGTCTAAGATGCATAAAACTTACCCAAAGATATTAATCTTGGGTAACATTTAAAAGCTATTATCCATAAAATAATTTATCCCATATGCCTTAAAACTGAAAATAAAAGAATTATTTCCTCTCTTTATATAATCAGAAGTGGCACATTCAAATAACATACCAAATGCTATGTCCAAGCTGATTCTTCACAATTTTTGAAACTCCTTAGTTCATATGGAAATAAAATATCAACAGTAGAAAGGAAAGTGCCGATAGAATGAGAAAGCTGTGCTTCCTAATGTTAAACAGACTACCTTCATGTAACAAAAAGGCATCTTCTCTTCAAAGGAAGAAATATAAAGCAACTGAATCATCTAAGGCTAAAAGCAAATCACTTAATAAAAGTATGGGGGTTATTAATTGGATGAGACTTATTCTCTTTTTTTTTTTAACTATTATTGTTAATTTTAAACTCATCGGTCTTCCTTAATTACTGCCTACAAATAGTGTATCAGATGATATTTTAAAAATTATCTGAAGAACATGGTTAGGTGCTTTTTGATAAGCATAGTACAAAATGTAGTATGCTTCTTGAAGTTCAGGGGTTCCTGTAACAAATCAATGATGTATTCGCCAACTAACATTTTGCCTTCCCGCTATTAACTTCATCGCTTTTCTTTACACTTATCCAGTGTTTATGCTAGCTACATAGGGGTATCAGTAGAGAAATGGACTTTTAATTAGGAACTCTGAGTGCAGCCCAGATTCATGATCATCCTTTGTTACACTACACCAGAGACAACAGGAATTTCTGTTCTTCTGACCAAGACACTAATCGAATACCCACGAATCAGTCCAAGATGCAAACTATTTTCTATGTATTGTGCTACACCTTTAATCAGTTGCTTGTCTAATTCTACTTCTTTTTTTTTTTTTTTTTTTCCCTGTCTGTTTCTCCATTCTTGGACAGCCATTGCAAAAACAGAGCAGCATTTGTGATAAGAAGGTGCTGTGAATTATCTCCAGAACGGCCGGTTGACATTTATCTATGCTACTGTGACTCCTTGCCTCTTCCACATAGGCAACCATAAAGCCCTTCCACGGCAGATCTTGTATGAGGAGTTCCACAGATCAAAACGTGGTGTTCAAGAACAAGTCAACAGAAGGTAGTCACATAGCATACCTCTGCCGGCAAATACTGTATTTTCCACTGGAAAGAGATGTGATATTGATTGCTTGTCAACTGAACAGCAACTTCCCTCTGCAGTTGTAACCTCCTTCAGCAAGACACACAAGTACAAGGATCAGAGTCAATGACAATGCTGCTAAAATGGCTGAAGGAAAAAACAGGATGAAGGAATGGTCTCTGCAGGGACAAGTAGTGCACAAATATGCCAGCAGATATACTGGATCTCTTGCCTTGCTTCTCCTGGTTGCAGTTCCCTTCCCCCACTGGCTGCGACTCAAAGCCTTCTCTCTTGATCTACTCCCCTCCCCCTGAGATTTGCCTTTGAATTATGCAAGCTTTGCACTCCCCGGGGTTTATCTGCCAAAAGGTAGCATGTGGCCCATGGTTTGCATTTTAGTTTAAAATTTTCTATTATAGCAGTCAGATCCTTTCAAAATACTTTACTTCCTTTATTCCCATAGGCAGAAAGAATGGCAGGAAAAAATTGTTCACAGCAGTATGAGAGGATGTAAAACTTCTACATTTTCAGTTTAAAAAAAAAGAAAGGTGGAATATGGTTTTAATCAAGTAGTTTTCCTTCCTAGACGAGTGCTTCCTTCTTGTAATATATATAACCTGACTGCCTATAAAAATAAAGGTGCCAGTTGGAGTCATTTAGGAGACCTAAGGAAATTCTGCATTAACCTAAACTCCTCCACTCTTCAGTTCCTTCCACTATTATTCTGTGTGTGGCCTCTCCTGATGAGTTAGGTCACCAATATCCACATACATATCTGTGAAGATACTTTGGAAACACATGCATCATAGGCTTCTCATTACTGATGTGGTCCAGGCTTAGCATCGACCATCTATGTGGAGAAATCGCCATGGTTTAAGGACATGCTTTTATTTCCATGTGATACCTAAAAGCCTAAGTAACTTGCAACTCTCAGCATATAGAACCTTCTCCTTGGTTTAGGTTTGCAAATCAAAAAAATATTTTTTGCTAGAACTGTCAAGATTTATAGACCCAAACCCTGAACCTTATCACGAGGAGAAAGCCAAAAGCATCCTTTTTGAAACCAAGAAATCCAGAGTAAAATTTCTAGTTTCAGTTGCCTAATAAACAGACACTAAATCTGAGGTGTCGCACCTGCCTAAAAATACTGTTAATTGTCCAGATGAGAAACTCATTTGGCCTCTAACCAGGAATTTGGTGGAGAAAAGAAGTAATATTTTCTGGCAAGCTGACTGAAGGAGAAAAATAAATGCTGATTGAAGCTGCTCGGCAGCACAGAACGTTAGCGCAGGTCCTCAGGGAGATGGATTAGTAAGCAGGAAGAAGGTGAGGCTGTCAAAGGTGCATGATAAATTCATTTAGCACATAGATATAGAATGATTATGCACATAGATATACACACAAACAGATTTTTTATTACTTTCATCTCTACTCATAAGTAAAAACAGAATAACTCACCATTGGCAATGATAGCGATTAAATCTCTGCACTGTCAATATTGTATCAGAGCTGATCATATGTACCATTTTTACACATACACATTGACACAAAAATATGCCTTACAAAACCCATGTAAATAGCAAGTGTTAGTTAATTAAACAGCAATCTTTTTACTGTTTTGTTGACCTGCTTAAAAATAGTAAATAAAAATATTCCATGGGACCAATCTTAAAGTATCTCAGAACGGAAGTACTGCAAGACACTGTTCATTCTGCTGCCTGCATTCATCAGCATGTATTTTTGAGACCATCAGTAGTGTTCTGAAATTCTGCTGCTGCTAAACTACTCCATTATTATGAACTCAACAACACTGCTATTCTCCCTCTCCTGTTTTCATTTTTATATGGCACTCAGCTCAGGCAGCATAGAACAACTCAAAAATAAGAAATATTGTAGTGAAGTAATATAAAAAGATGACAAATTCAAAAGACTTGGTAACGAAATATATTAATGTATTTATAGAACTACAAAGTGAAGGCCTCTCTAACTGAGATGATCCACACTTACACAGATTCGGAACTTCCCTGGTCTCAAATCACTTTTTTTTCAGGCTACCACAGAAGTAGAACAGATCACAGTTAAAGTGATAATAGAGCTTTTCCAGAAAAATTAAAAAGTACACGAAAATTGTGTGTGGCAGACCACTATTTTGATTAGTATTACTTCAATTATTAGTTTCATAAACAATGGTTCATTTAACACCAAAATTAAGAACAAATCACACGCAATGCCCAGTCTATTTTTCAGCTCACAGTTAAACCTAGCACTTCAAGACTCTAATAAATACTCTTACAAGATAAGACTATTTCCTTGTCAGTGTACAGTGGACAAACATTATCAATGAAATGAAAACATGGCAGGTACTACATGTTCATGTACTAAATGAACATATAGTACCCTTGTGTCAATAACAGTTTCAAATCCAGATGACAACATTCTTCTAAGAAAACTTAGAAGACAAGTGTTCCAGTATCTCTTTTCTTAGCTCAATTAAATGTATTTATGTGCAACATCTGTACTTTAGCTCAAAATGGACGAAGACGCAGTCTGCAGACTGACGGCAACCCACGTAATGATAGCATCCAGCCATCACTCTTGGTACTTAAGCCAGTTCTTGTACCCCTATGTGCCCTGCATACCCCTTGAACCTCTCCACTGCACCTACAAGCCAGCTACAGCCCAGAGTGTTGCTCTGATGCGACTTTCTCTACAGAGGCTGTCAAGGTGCCCCAAACAGCGAGATGGCCAGTATGTACAGAGAAAATAGTATTATTAAAATAGTAATTGCTCAGACCTTCTTTCAATAAGCAATAAATAACTTAATACTTCAATTAGGATTAGCCTAGAATTCTACAGTGACCCTCAAGCCTAATATTTGTAAGCAGAAATGGCTTCATTCTTGTTTTCATTCAGTTCAAACATATATTCCCTATTGGTATACACCTAGCCACCCTTTTAAATAAAATTGTTGATAACACTGATATTACTTTGTTCTCAGGGACTCAGAGTATTTTATAACTAAGTACCAGTTTCATTTCTTCTATAGTTAATACACTTGCAGCTATACTTGATACCATGGTATTGCCAGAACAGAGGATGTAAAACTGATAAAAAAATCTGTCTTAATCACCCACTCCACCCCGCCTGGGTTTTTTTTAAACAGTTGTTTAGACAGAGGAGGGAGGAGTCTGTAAGCCCTCAACATCCTAAGGGATACTTTAGCAAACAGATTTTTCTGAATGGTGCTGAGTCCGAGTGAGACTACTGATCTTTCCGATGTTTAAATATTTAATTTTGTATATGAAAAATACAGGACAAGTTATTATCAATTTGATAGCAAGCCAAATAAAAATAATGGAAGCTACAAAGCTATGGTGTTTGATGTGTACTACCTATGCAGGTAAAACTGTAAAAGTAAGTTCAAAAGTGCAAGCCAAATCAAGGTTGCTCACTGTCTTCTGCCATTAAGATCCAGTATTAGTGAACAAAATGCCTGCCCTCAGCAACTGAAGCAATCCTTGAACATTTATTTTTATACTGGCATCCAGTTTGTGCTGAATCCAGGCGCACAAAGTTTAAGAACAACTTGCATACATGTTCTCTTAATTTTGCATGCTGGTTCAGGCACCTTGCATTTGACTGGCCTGTAGCCAAACCACAAGAGAACACAAAGATTTGAACATTCCCTGTTAGCCTTGAGCTATGCAGAGTCTTCACACTTTCAACACTGCAGTGGTTAACAAAGATTGTCCTTTCATATCTTTAAAGTACAAACTTACCTCTCTCAATATGGGATCCGTTATTGAACTTAAATTAACAGCTCCTTCATAAGTCAAATAGTAGAATACATTCAGGGACCTAACAGCCTCCGGCCCTTGCTGTTTGTAGCCAAAAATCAGATCAATCCACTGGTGAAGCTGGCAGGAAACAAACTCACTTTCTAATGCCTGAAAAAAAAAAAAAAAAGACACACCCACAAAACATATAAACTCGAGTTTGCCAGACAGTCATCATTTAGTAGTTGTAGAAGCATTTTTTGAATAGTGTACAAAATTATCTTAACAAGTACAGAATTGATAACAGTATTTTAGACAGCCATCAAAAAGAAAGGTGGGTCCTGTGATAGATGCCAGAGTCTCATGCCCTACTCCCCGCTGACCAGAAGACCTTGCTTTTTAAACTGTAATAGTGGGAAGAAATAAAAAAGCAGTAAGTGGAAGGCATTTACACATTTATGGACAGCCAGGCTATGTTTTTTATGAACTCTCAAGATGAAATTGTGCTTTTCTGTGTGATGTGCCCAGTGAATAATAACAGCATGATGATCTGATTCTGACAGAAAGAGAGAAGATTGATAGACTTGGGGAAACTGAACTAACTAGAGATGTTAGGGTACAAATTATTTAACATGCTGGAATTACTTTTATGCATTTCTTGTACATATCTCCTGTACAAACCTATAGAGAAACAGTACTATGCTCAATGACTGAGCCACTTTTCTGAAGATGTTATCCAGTTACAACCCAATCCCCAAGACAAAAGCATTCAAACAATAATGAATCTTTTCATAACAGTATTAGATACAGTATAAATACATTAAAAGATAACTTAAAAAATCATTGTCATCTAAAGAATTAATTCATCTAGATTAAATCACTAGCAGGATTTGCTTTCTCTATTTCACACACAGGATTCAATATATTTCTTATTTGAATGAGCAAATGAAACAACGTAACAAAGTCTGATATTCTTTTCATCTAACGAAAGGAATGGCATTTTCCTTGTAAAGGAAATCCCTAATTTTGAGAAGAGGAAGTTAAAATTAATCTGAAAACCAAGGAAATCACTCTGCAATTTGCACACAAAAATGATGGGTTTGTTTCATTAACCGATGCCTGAAAACAACATTTAAATTGACACATAAAACCAGCAATTGTCTTAATTTGTGTGGTGCACTCCACACAAAAGCCCTAAATATGTTCAAATTAGAGCAAGCTGCTTGATTGTCACTGCAGTCTCATGTCATATTAATGCATGACAAACATTAAACCATACACTTAAATGGCAATTTATATCATTTAAATGTTTACTGCCACACCAGATCATCACTCATTTAAATGTGACTTTCTGACAGCTAATTTCAGTTAATTTTCCTCGATTCACTTAATTAGAACTTTCAATCAAGAAAAGACCTGTACATATCTCCGACATCATATCATTCTTTTTATTATTATTATTTTCATTAGGATTCCCAGCTACTGAATTGCTGAAAGCATTCCTTAAAATGAATTACCACACAGTACAGTATCTCTTTGGATGATCATATGGAAATACCTTACAACATACATGCTTTGACAGGATTTTTTCTTTCTTAATTTTTTCTTTTTTTTTTCTTTTTTAAATTAAAAAAAAATCCCACAACATTTAGACACAGACACACAATTAAAACTATAAAAAACCACAAGCGGGCCAATTAAAAATTAATGATTTCAAAATTGTTTAATAAGATAAAACCAGTCAGAATTCTCATGAGTGTCCATAATACTACAATGTGCAGCCATAAAATTGTACAGGGCTCAGCAAATGACAATGATAGGAATTAAATTTTCTTGCTATCCTGCTAAAAAATTTAACCCTAGAATATACTTACTGTTATCATTTTATCTATTTAATGTAAGGAAAAATAGTGTTAAGAACTTGTGATTTTATATATATAGATATATATATATAGTATGTGCAGACATTGTTCATATTTTCCTTTTCTTCAAAAGCTAGATTTGTAATTGGTAATATTAGCCTCACTAAGCATTTGGACATGAATAACTAAAGGAGTATCACTCTGCAATCTCCTCAGATTAACAGACATATAAATCTGACTTCTTCTTAAAAAAGCAAAACTAAAACACTCTTTGGCTTTTCATGGAATGGTTGGGAGCCATGCTGAATTTACCTCTGTTTTTCAAGTTTAAAATTATTTTACACTTGTAATTTACACAGATTTAAAAGTAGATAATTTTCTCCCCCCCACACACACATTAGGCCATTTTAAATCTTATTTGCCAAATCACAAATAAAAAGACTAAACAAAAAATTACTACAGCCACCATCAATACCCAGGACCCTGAAGGCCAGACCAAACATAGCACACAAATTCAAAGGCTAAATAAGCTTGCCTGTCATTTCAGGTTCACAGTTAAGCTCTTGCTTGGAAGGAAGGGTTTATGCTATGACACAATCGATGGAAGAACAGCAGTTTACAGTCCGTATAACGATTAAAAAATAAAGTAGACTTTCAACCCAACGTACCAGTATGTGTGATGCACTTTATAGCCACGCTGGTATATAAGTATTTAAGTATGGGTACTCCTTAAAAAAAACAAACCCATGAAGTGAAAAAGTTCCAATTTGCATAACTACCCAGTTTTTAAAAAGAGGTTTTGGGGTTTTTTTTTTTAAATGTTATTGTCAGCATTTATCTCTTGCAAAACTAAACTGTTGGTATCAAATGCTAAGCATTTAGGATTACTTAAGAATCTAGGACACCCAGTGCTCATTAAGGCTTAAGTTAAATACGGCATGCAGCAATGGGATACTAACATCCTTCCCATGCTGCTCTTATAGCAAACCAATCTTTAGCGCTCCCGCAGCAGACCAAGTACATCATTTACTCTGTGCTCTGAGGAAAACGTGCAAAACAAGAAAATCCTCTGAAATGTCCAGCATAATACAGTAATATTCAATCCTATTGAGTTATTGTAAAATAAATCAGTGACTAATGCCCAATTGTTAAAGGATCAAACAAGACCATGAAAAGACCGTCACGTGAAGCCACACACAAATTGTCAATTCTGTCCTCAGGGACTCATATTAACTTTGACAAACTGTCTTGGGGCTGATATCTGTTTCTTTAATGAGATCTATTAGGCAGAGACTAAAACACTTGAGATGCTAAAAAGTACAGTATACAGACGTCAAACACAAACACCTATTAGTAACTTTCACTTCTCCATTCCCAAGGTAGAAATGCTTCAGACACCAACATATTGAAGCTTTGATCTTACAAGGAAATTTTAGTTTATTCATAAATATTTTTCAAATACACAATCTGATGTCATTAAATATATGCAAAACTACTTCATGAGTGACTCTGAGATTCATTACTTTATGTGCATATTTTTCTGCCGTGTTTTCTCAAAGGAATGAATGGAGAATGATTTCCTGCTGGCAACCAGAAACTATCAGTCTAATACTGATACAAATGATTTGGTAAAACATGGTGGGAACGTCAAAAACGTAAAACTAGTAGGTTAGGAAAGATTTTTCCTTTTTCCAATATAAATACTCTAACCATTTATTATAATATATTTTCCCAAACCATATTATACCCTTGGAATCAAGATTTGTATCTTTAAACTGACTACTATTGGCTTTTGCCCTCTACTTTGCTTTCTGGTTTAGATTATGTAATGACATAGAGCATATGAAATGATGTCTATTAAAAATTAATATATACTGTGCTTGAGATTGGGATGATCCAATGCTGAAATTAGATGAAAAGATAACTGTATTTCTTTTCACCAGCATAGATATTTACTCATAATCAAGCTATTCAGAAACAAACCACAGACTTGCTTGCCTTATTTCTGTGCTGATTAAAGCAAAGTAATCTTGAAGCACAGCATAAAGCTTGCAACTCCTATTTGAAAGACAGAAACATCCAACCTATACAAAATATGTTTTATATAGTTAACATGAAAGTAGGAACTTTGATGAGAAATCAAATCTGCTTCTCATACATGAATAATCTTTCCTATTCACTCAATTAAAAAATCCCCCAAACCCCAGGAATATACTACATCGGCAAGTAAGAACTTACAAATCTCAAGTACAAATAATTGCCTATTACTTTTAATGGGCTAAATATTTTAATTCCTCTTTGAAGTAAGGAATTTCCTTTGAAACACTTAAAATAATTGAGACTCTTTCTTTACATTCCATTTGAAAAGTATTTATGTATGAACAGAAAAGCATGAATTAGGCTTTCACACATTTTTAGCACAAACACAGTTTTGATGTGAAAAATACTCTGCTTGAACACAACAAAGGACCCACATAACTGCAGTACCAGGTAACTACTTTAAACTAAGTACGTATGCTGGCTTGGAAGTACACACATGCATGTACATTTAAAACAAAACCAAACCAACAAACCCAAACAACTGGAATCATGTTTGCATGTGCAAGCTTTCAGACACAAGTCGGTAATGCTGCCTTAACATTGATATACGACCTTTGTAAGTTACAATGAAGAAGGCTGGGGTTTTCAGCCTAATTAGAACTGTTTCAAATTTTCCTGCTAAATATATGATAGAAAGTCCTTTCAACTTTTTTTTTTTTATTCTAGAGTTTCTTTCCATGTCAACCTTGTTCCAATCAAAATATGTTTTGAATTAAATTATTTTGATTCAATATGTGGATCACATTTCACTTCTAAGATTTAAAGTCAAAAAAGGAAAAGTTTAGGCTGTTCAAACAAAGCAAAAGCAGCCACTTTGCGGAAAGCTATTCACATTTACCAAGACTGACAAATTGTTTGTGTGCACCATTAGGTCTAGTTTCTGCAATAGTTGCCAGATTTCCTGTCCTCCTAATAACATATTAACTCTTGAAGTGCCGGCTTTATCTTTTGAGGTTTCTCAGTAACCACTGGTATTTAAAAGTAAATTACCGAAGACACTTTCACCAGCAACACTATTTGATCACATGGCTAGACATCTGAGAGGGAAAAAAAATATGTATAAAAAGCCGTTGGAAAGATATCGAACTCTCAAGCCTTCCTTGAGGATAACAGGAGCAGGAGGAAGAGGACAGCAGACGTACTAAGGAGAAAACTCCAAGTTCTGCATGAGGTAATACAAATTTGAAAAGGACATCAAAACTGTTTACA